TTGGTATATTAATATAGATAGCAAAACCACATTGCGAATATTTTAACTCTAGCTTCTAAATTATTAATCCATACCTGACTCTACCAAGAACAATAACATGTGCGTGTGGTCAGCCCATTGTCATGGGTGTCATGAGGAAGATATAGGATATTGGTACGTATTCCTTTCTTGAAATTTATATGTTCGTATTCAAGGATATCTTTCCATCAACATTTTTCATCCTTTATATGGCATGTGAGCATTATTGTTTCCGTAAACAAATTTGAAAACAATGTTATTTCTAGATCTTCATTTACTTAAAGGTTGTAAACTTTTCTTGACAGGTGTTTCGCTATCCTCGAAACTGATTTGTTTATTTGGCAGAAAATACATATTTAGTACTTCAAATTTACCTTACATATTTTAATGTACAATTTAATTTAAATAAAATTGGTGTTACCTTCACCGTAAAATAAATAATTCCTGGGTAACAGAGCCCCTAGATCTCACAAGCATACACCTGATTGTCCAAATTCTAAACAGAGATTTCAAAAATTTCTTGCTGATTCACTAATATTAAAACAAGAAAGAATTTTTTTTATTTTATTTTTTTTCTGCTGTAGTAATCCTACAGAAGATGCGTATATTTTTTAGAAGTGTTCATACACCATGCAAAAGCATATTATATGCATTACATTGTTATTTAGTATATAACTTATTACAATATGTGTTGGCTAAAGATATTTAAAAAGAATGGTACATAATATGTATTACAAGGAGAATATTATAGATTTTTAAATAACAATGAACGATTAAATAAAGTAAATAACAGTATCAGATGAATGAACAGTACCAAATATACTAAAACAAAATACTCTAAAACAGAGGCAAAATCAAATACAAAAATTATGCGGAGAATAAACAAATGTTACAAATTTACAATTAAGTATCTACAAAATAAGGAATAAAATACATAAGTCTAACTTTAAAAGTATATTAAATAAAAGAGCTATGCTGGAATGTCATATAATTTTATGCTATTAATGAATTCCTTCAACTCCTTCTTGTATTTTTTGTGTATTATGGGTTCGGGAAGAGGCTCGGGATGTGTCTCCTTGCGTCAAAGAGGATTAATTTATATATATATATATATATATATATATATATAAGGGGAGGGGTACCTCCTGTCTCATTTTACAAATTATCCTTATCATTTAATTGCATGTGTTGATTGAATATATTTTGGACCCAAAATTTAGGGCGTGGGGTAGCTCAGTGGTAGGGCCCTGAGGATTCATTCTAATCCCGGCTTATGGAAGAAAAATTATTTATTCTGTTTCATCTGCCGTGGAATGACCCTAGGATCAGAAGACTATCCTGGTGTACACCCAGCCTCTATAAAGTGAGTTCCCTTATTTAAATAATTAATTAAGAGGGAAAACTTGACGGTTGCATGTGCAGTCAAATCATCTCCTTCCACAAATGTTAACGAAGAAACAGTACTTACCCTAAATAGTACTGAACTCAAGACCCTTCATGGGTTATAGAGATACAGGTTTTTTAGGAACGGAGTGGCCGAGCGGGATGACGCGTATAAACCGAAGTTATACCGAATAAAATAAGTAGGAGTTTGTGCGGGAAATGATAGTTCGAATAATCGCCATAGAAAAGCAGCATCATCGAGTCTAGAGTACATGGCTGAAAAGTTGAGCTCAAGTAAACTTCTACTCTCCTAATACTAAATAAAGATTTTCATCCTAGTGTTTTCGTTACGATCCGTTTCGCTTTGTATGTGTAAAATAAAACTTGTATATGACAGTCACTTAAAACTTTTTTATAAATATATATATCTATATATTTTTTTTCTCATTACATCTAATGTTTGATTCATAGCAATTCTCTATAATACTCTTATAATCACAACTTGAATTAAATCCAAAATATTTTAAGTAATACAATAAGCTCACCGAAGACTTCTATTTCTTTGTTATAACAGGATTAGCTGAAAATTTAAGTAATAAGCTGATCATGATCTAAAATTTACTTTGATTTTTTTATTTACTATCACATTTATTAATTTAAAGTAATCAATTTTTTAATTTAGTTTTTTTATTATGGATTTCGTCTATTTATCACATTCTGGCTTAGAAAACCCTTATTAGTTAGCTAATTTAAATCATTGATGGCTATTAGAAAATTATAGGTAACAGATGTTTCTTCATTTAATTAGCCGATTAATTAATTTAGTTTCAAATCCAGAAATCCGTTCTATAGACTTCTAAAAATTTCTTAATAATGATAAAAGCAATTAGTCTGAGAAGATACTGATGAAAATACCGCCGAGGAATTAGGTTGGATGTTTCTTAAGATATGTGTCCTGTTCCAGAAACTTGAAACCGATTCCAGGAAAGCCTGCACCACTCGAAGACGTCATCCGGTTCGGAAGTTGAGAAGATGAGTCAGATACTCAACTTCCCAACATTCTCCGAATCCGATAAATATTGTAAGAAAAAAAATAATAAAACTTTAAAAGGTTTTATTAAATTATGTTGCTATAATTTTTTTTCAAATATATAGAATTTTACCAGTAGTTTGACAATCAATGATATCCAAATTATTAACAAATACAGGTTTAGCTTCAAGTACAATTTGAAAAAAAAAAAAATGTTTCAACTTTTGCGGAATACATCCATAGAATTCTGGGACAAAGTACATTAAGAATAACAAAATGATACAGAACAAGAGAATATTTCTGACCAAGAGATCTACATTAAATAAATAAAATATCTTATGTCTTAATAACAAAACATACATAACAAACTGATGAAACTATGCTACAAAATGCTAAAAACTATATTCAATACAAGTAACAAATATATCAAAATAATCACTCTTTAGATTAAAAAATAAATAATAATAAGAAATAGAACAAGTAGGTACAAAAGCAATAAATAAAAAATTAAATCATCTAGCAAATGAGCACCAAGTAAGAATAACTAACGTAAAATCAAATATAAAGAAACTAAAGATTTATATATTCTATTTTGGTAAGAATTAAAATATTTCTAACAAAAATTGTAAGAAAATAAATAAATTAAGCAATTTATAATTTCTATGTTAAGACTATTCCTTAAAATCCCGTTTCAGCTAACTTAGCAAGGAAGGGAGAGGCACCAACCATAATTTCAATAAACTGTACCTCAGTAAAAGACTGGGCACACGCTACAAAAAAGTAGTTGTTGGAAAATTGGGTAAATAGATGGGAAACTAAACAGTCAAAACTATTAGCAATAAAAACAGACTGCAACAAATGGGCTACTAGCACAAGAATATCCAGAAGAAAAGAAACCATATTGTGCAGAATACGAATTGGTCACTGCCTGTTTACTCACGGGTACCTTCTCAGAGGACTTGAAACACCCAATTGCCAAAAGTTTGATAATAAACCGCAGTCAGTAAAACATCTGTTAGTACGAGTTCAAAAACATTCGGCAAAAATTGAAACTACCAATGACAATGAAAGAGATATTAAGAGACAACGAAGATGGAGTCACCATCCTATTCCGATACTTAATAGAAACCAAATATTACAATAGAGTATAGAAAACTAGCCGCCAATGACCCTCAAGGGTAGAGGCGATTACAAATAAAAAAAATAAATAAATAAAAAATTACCGTTAGAGGTTACTCTGATACTAAACATAATTATTGCATAATAAAATGTTTATTATTGTATTGGTGTATAATCTAAAATGCTCTAACTTCAGAATAATGCTCTAACTTCAGAATACTGTTCTAGGTACATATTTAATAAAATAAAATTAAAGGAATATTAGTTTGGGGTATATTAGAAAAGTTAAAATATTGAGAAAACCAACAACCATTTCACTAAAAATGATTGATAGTCATTAAATATAAAAATCTTATTTAAAAAATGACGAAATTTCGAAACAAAAGAATATTTGTTATGATTTGATAATAATAGGATCTGTGTATTTGCGACTAATTTAATTCCTTCGGTAATATACAGATTTTGGAAGTAACGTTTGATGATTTTTTGTTAGGGTTTGTCATAGCTTCAGCAAATTATTGCATCTGTTACGAATAGTATTAGATTTTGCTCGCTCGTAAAATCTGTGGTTATTACAAATACTCAATAATTAATAATATGCTTAGAAATCAAGAGAGAACTTCGGACTAATATTTTATTTTCAGTATCTAATGGCCGATGTTAGAAGAAGATGGATACAGGATAAAACCTTTTTCCGCAAATGAAGATTAATAAAGGAAATGAAAATTATACAATAGGCATTTCAAGAAAAGAAAGAAACAGCATTTATTCACTCAGTGGTAGCAATTAATTAAGTTGGATTGCTACAGGTTGATAAACAGCAAAAATGGCAACATCCAAATATTTAGATGAAAAAAATGAATAAATAAAAAGCGTATCAAAACTAAAATTAACAAAAATGAAATCCGTTTGTATCAAACTTAAAATACAGTGTGTATCTAAGGAAGTGGTTTTAAATTGGAAATGTGCAATTAAGTGGAATTATTCAGAATAGGCGAGGCATTGAGGAGATACGATGGTAATAACTAGAAAAATTAAGTAAAACAGGATTATCACTAGCTGGTTGGAATAAAGAGGAGAATAAGACCTGTAAAAGGTTTCCTAAAAAATACCGGCATTGGAAATGGGCGAGAGAAATCCTTTATGATCGATACCAACATATTCCTACGTATTTTGAATCAAATAAATATTAATTTCAATCATGGATTCTAAATCTAACTTAAAATTTCCTTTTAAATGATATAAATGATAACTTAAAACTTCATGACTCATTGAATGAATAAATTAGGTAATTGTTGCAAATCTTTTAAGTCAGACCCCTTCCACAAAATGTTAGTTTATCTACCCAATTTTTTTCTTCCATCGAAACAAATCTTGCCAAATCATTATCTCCCACCGACTAAAAGACTGAATTTTGCAAGAAGAAAGTGGAACCGATCTTGGACAAGGGATGTACCCCCGGCAGTCCAGAAGTGGAGGGAGTGGCGTCGAAGCAGGACCAGTCAGTCCATCACCCCTGGCTTGGAAACATGCACCCCGCTCCAGTCTTCGTAGCCGCGTTTCTATTGGCCACCGCTTCCTCTATCAAGCTACTCTCCAAGCAGCGTATGTATTGGTGACTTTAATGCTACATTAAAGTTTCTTTTTCTAAAAAAAAAAAAATTTAAAACATATGTGGTAAAAGCTCAAGTTGCTTGTGTTTATGTTTATGTTAAATCTTTAAGTATGAACTATGAGTGCTTCATGTTCTTTAATTATTTTTAATATATATAGAAAATGCTGCATGATAACGAAACTATTTCAATTACATATTGATTACTACCGATTTAAATTAATATAATCGATTTGAATATATTATTAACAAATATGGCTAACGAAGATAGTTGTATTATATATTAGCCGATCGTCCCATTTACATTGACACTACCAATTCTTCGGGGTCACCCGTCCAACGGGATGACCGAAGGGCCGCAACACTTTCCCTGGTCCATTGAGTTGCGCAATGGAGGACGTAACCGGACCGCTTTCTCCAGCCACCCACTCCAGCCTGGAAAAGATGTATCGAGTAGTAAGTAGTTAACCCGTTGTATAACCTCACATGGGGACTGTCTGACCTTCAGCACAAACCCTTTCTCGTACTTTCTCGATGATGATCTGTATTATACAGGTTCATACGTCGTTTAGTTGGTATCTTTTTTTCAGTAAGTGAATACAACGGGTAATTGAGAACAAGGGTTGAAAACTAAACAGAGATTTATCTGGCTTGGTACATGATTAAATTTATTCAACGTCATTGCTAATTTGAATTGATTCACAAGATTGCCATTGGGATCTAGAAATATGATATTTTTACCCGTCTTTTCAGCAAATTAATATTTTGTATTTGTGCTCTTAAGAGTAAAAAATAAATATTAAAAAATGAATAGAAATTTATTTAACATATTCGCAATGAATAGGGAATTCCATGTGTATTTTATAGATCCAGAGGAAATCATGCCATCAATGGCTTTAATAAATTCAGGATAACGTATTTCGTTTTTTACAATTAAAGAAAGCCAGTCATTTGCGACAAGCACTTCTAGATATATTTTTATAATTTACTTCCATTTCCACTTTAAATGTTCTGACTTCCTTGAACAAAGATAGAAACTCGAGCAAAGAAGCAGTGCAATATTATTCCAGCAATGTCAAGTTCTGATTTTCTCTACAAGACAGGGATACATATCGAAGTGCAGAACTTATTATTTATTAAAACCCTTGCCTTAAATTGTTTTCCTGAAGAAACGCTTATATAATATATAAACCAAAATTAGTGGTAAAATTCCATATATACTACTAATAATAATCTGTTAGTCTCGCCATAGTTCTTGAAGGACCAATTGATCAGTCAGAGATTGAAGAAGCAGAGGTGCCTGATTCTCGACCTTTCAGAAGTGTTTGGGAGACAGTATGGTCAGCAATATGTTCCAACTGCCTGATATATCCATGAATAATCAAGCCAATTCAAGTAGGCATTTGAGAACTATATGGATGCAGGAGGATCCATGTAACTCAAGGTTACCGTCCTGACGAAGTATTAATTTCACGCTCAAATTCCAGTCGAAAGTCTTTAAGTATGATAATAAAATTTGGATCAAGTACATATGAATCTAAAGGAAATAAAAAATACCTAGAAAATGGATGTTTCGAACTAAAACATGAAAATATAGCGATAAAAAAAATTAATAAATGTAGGAAAATATAAAAGAACATTAAAACCAAGCAAACACATTTAACCAAATTAAAAAGAAGATATAATTTAGTTCTTTGATAATTAAATTATATTACATAATGATACTTGTTATAGTCTTCTAAGAGATAGGAAAGTTATTACCAATGTTTACCCAATAAATAAACGGAAATAAAATTGGCATACATAAAATTAATTACAGAGCGGATTGCAACGAAACTGGCACCGCGACTCTCACATAATAGAGAATAATTGGATCCAATCATACAGGAAAGATATACGAAGTAATTGAAAGGAAAATGACTGAAGACAAGTGACAACTGCTCGAGAAGGAGTAAAAACAAATCATTACTGAAGAAAATTAGTTACTATTTTACAAGTAATAAAGTAGTACCTAACAACAGCTGAAATATATGTTCCGTTAAATGCATGTAAGATGATTATTGGATTTATCTGTAAAGGGTTGTTGAAACTATTAGACTATATCCAACTCACTCCCTCCATACTCTAAAATTGAGACGTTTAAAAGACTCGATGTCATCGATTGACATCGTTCCTTGCAAGAGTTTGAATAAAATACATGATTTAGTAACTACACATCTATCGTTAAGCATATGCGAAACCACGAATATTTTCATAAAGTTTACATATTTCAATTTCCAATCAAAGTAAGTTATAAAAGTATTTTAGACAACGAAGAGATCCATATTCAAAAACTGGGCTTCCAATTGTATTAAATAGCAGCATAAAAGTTCCAAAATCTGAAAAAACACCATAACTTCTTCCGAATTTCTTAATAGTGAAGAACACTTTAGATACACCTACTAATGACCGAAAAATTTTAAACAAGGGTCGAACAAAACTCACAAAGATCACCCACTATGTTGTAAGCATTTTTTTTTCTTTTTTAAATGTTTTTGATAAATTTTCTTTTATTTGTTTAAACACTACATTTAAGTGCAGTTATCACTTAATTTTGTTAGTTATATCAAATCAGATTCAATTTTCTCCATATCTCAGATCTCATATTACCATTTGAACACCTTACAGCATAAAGTAAAAATTTACACTTCTGAAAAAATTAGAAAATTTAAAATGTATATAAATAAAAGAGGGTTTAGATTACCACCTTGTTGTACTCCTGGTGAAAGAGTATAATTTTCTGTTAGGACATGTGTCATAGCAATACGGAGATATTACGACATTTTGAAACCACGTTTCGGACTAGGCATAGCTCAATTGATTGTGGTGGGTACTAGTATCCCCGATGAGTATTTTTCTCTGTTTCGGCAACCTGTTTCCGAATTATGTACCCCTACACGCTTTTAGCATCTGGTCCCGTCTTATATGAATAACTCAGTTTTGTACTTCCAAATAAACAATATTATGCATAAACCAACCAAACTTCCAAAATATCAATTTGAAATAGAAGGAGAACATAGTTTTTAAAATAAATTAAATATAACTTAGAGGAAAAAACGAAGTTCATTGGTTATACTTATTTTACAGTAGAGTAAACAGAAAATTACTTAATGGGTTAGAAGCATTCTGCTAGACTATTTTTTTTTTTTATCTGTTTATTGAGAAATAATACATTTTGCCACACTTAAGGGCACTAAGTACTAAGGCTGAGTGAGGCACATCCATACCATATATACAATACATAAAAAAATAAAAATAAATAAAAAATAAAATAAAAAAATATACATCTATATAACAAAAGCAAAAACTATAATAAACCAAGGAAATGTAACTTAGAGTTAAAATTAAATGAAATACAGAAATTCGAAGCAAAATTAAATAAATTATAAGTAATAGAAATAAATAGAAAAACATTCATACTTAAATACTATATTTACAATCAGGCAAGAGATCTCCGAGTCCAGCCCTTTCCCCCAAGTGTGAAGGACAAAGCGAGACTCTAAGAGATTCCAGCGTTTCTCTCTCAACCGCGTCGCCGGCATTACCAGTCCGGTGGAGACTGATGCTAAAACTAAACAACTTAAAAATATGTGGCTTGCTTGAATTAATTAACTTGCGTATTGTTAATTAAAGCTTGGTTGGTTTCAGCAAATCGTGTTACAATGAATTCAGTACAATATTTGTCACTTTATGATTCGTTAAGTTTCTCCATAACGCTTCTCCGATTTCTTAGAGCAGTTTAACTCATCTGTTCTTATATGTGTTCTATTTTCACTTCTACCATTCTCGCAAAATCGTAAATGACCTGTTCAGTTGTCATTCGATTTTAACAAATTTGATGATATTAGTTTCATTTAAAAGCTTATTAAGGACCATGTCACATTCAATTTTCCAGAAATTTCCGCCCTATAATTTCTCGTCTTTCCTGCAGAGGATCAGTGATGGATATATAAAATACATGTACAGCAAGAATTGTGTAAAGTCTTATCTGAGACGTGATGGGTACTTCCTCTTATGCTTCAGTCGACTAAAGAAGCATCTCTTAGCGGTTGCAACTGTTTGCCTTATTTCATAATATATCTTATTCAATGAGTTTACTTGAACTCCGAAGTAGATGAATTCTGGTATACACTCAACTGACTATAGTCCGCTAAGACTCCTGGCATCTATAGTCAAAATATTTTTCTTCTTTTCGTCTGCATTGTGACTCAAAATATTCAAAAGACACATAAATCCAAAAGCTAAAAGTAAATATACTTCTTGTTCTTTTAAAATTTTTATTTCATATATTTATACACATATGATAAATAATGTGTACTTTACGAGTACGGTTGAAATGTCCTCATTAATATAGAATTATCCGATTTTTGCTTTCCTCTAAGCTCGAGAATTAACTGACCTTAGGGTCAACACGTAATCCTCACCGGTAGTTCTTCTTGATAAGTGTTTCCTATGAACATTTGCCGTCGACTAGCAATGAAGGAGCAGAGACTTGCTTCCTGGTCTGACTCATCTAAGCTGAGAACTCATGACTTCCGCGGTGAAAGTCCAGCCAGAACCTACTTCGCGCCTGGATCTTATCTCAACCGGGGATATGGGACAGCCTCTATTATTCGGCTCTATCTGATAGGAATCATAAACGAAAATATTATGTCTTGTCGTTAATTTTTTGATCGCAAAAACTCCAAAAAAAAAAAGTTAATTGAGTAAAATAATTTATAATATTCCAAGAGCTTGATTTTTTTTTTTTTTTATGGTTTATGGTTTATTAAATGATAATAACAAATATATTTTTTATTATATTGTATTAATCATACAAATGAAATGTGTCCGTTAAACAACTGAGAAAAATAAAGAAACAAAACACAAAATACAAACTAAATTTAATTTCTCAATATTGGCAAGAGACCATGTGGATGCCAAAAACTACATGTATTGAGCGAATCAAGAAAGAAAAAAAGTCAGAAAATCAGAAGTAATAGCCCAACATAGGCAGAGGTGGATAAGGCTGAATCAGGTGGCCAAAGATCTACCAAATCTGTATAAAGCCAATAATAAAAACTAGAAATTAATAATACAAATATTGAACAGATTGATACTTAATAACAAAATAATTATGTTATTATTTTCATCCTCCGAGTTACTGAAAATTCGAATTGAATAATTAATACGAATTTATTTCAATAACACGAGGCGTAACCCAAACTCTAACCATCGCAAACTAAGATAATTTTAATTGACATTAATCCATTTTACAATTTACAATTACGTTTGTACATTGTTTCATATTAATTTTGTATTTAGGATATTTACAACTGTATTAATATAAAAACACATATAGTAAATGTGAACAAATGTAGGTGATGACATGAACACACTTGTTGAGGAACAACTCACATGTGGTACTCTAATAATATGGCTATATTACTAGGAGATCAAGGGGCCATCTTCTTTTCAGACAGTACGGTGTTTTATCAGGAATCGAAGAGGAAGCAAGGTTACGAGAGGCTTCGCATAGCTCTGAAGTTTATTATGGAAGGATAGGTATTCGGATTGGGCCTAATCGGAAACATCAGAGACATTAAAGTCATTCTGGATGATTCTAATAGTGATAAAGTAAGGATTTTACGAAAAGTTTTAGATTGGAAGTATTGGAGGAATTCGATGATTCTGTAGAAGCCCCAAAGCTCAACTACTTAAGCCTAAATCAGCCTTATTGTAGTCATATGTAAGTATCTTTTGTAATTAATTGGAAGCTTAAATCGTTTGTTCAGTAAGTGCTGAAGTAGTCGGATACATTGAGCGATTTCTTGTCGTTTCAGTCTGGTATGAGGTTATAAGGTATGAGGATTCCAAGTTAGAAGTTTGTCCAGGTGGAGTCCTTGGTATCGGGTTTGTTAAACAGGGATAAGTGGGGTATTATTATAGGATACAGTAGGACATGGACTTCAGTTTTACGATGAAGGATAAAAGTGGTTTGATGGGATTTATTGTAATTTATTTTAATCCTCCAGTTTTGAAACCATTCTACGAGGTTTTTGATGTGTGATTGAAGAATTTGGGATGCAAATGATGGGTTGTTATTAACTGATAGGACACATGTGTCGTCCGCTTACGTGGTGATGACAGTGTTCAGGGATTTCAGCCGTGTAAACTGTAATATTTACAGTAATTACATTTAATTACCCAATATTTTTTTTTTGGAGAATAAAATATTGCTGGGGGCAGAGATGGGCAAATGATACTTTTAGTACTGAGTAACAAGAATTTTACTCAGATACTGACCTTTTTTTCGAGTATGAAAGAATTCAATTACTTCTTCATTTGATGTCAAACGATTAACTAAAGTGGTTATAGAATTCTCAATAGTGATTCAATTTGAGTAAAATAATTGGTACTCGGTACTCACAGTAGCATTTGCTCATCGCTGGCTGGGGGCGCTTGAGAGGGACACCGATTTCCCGAAACATACAATAAATAATTATCAGAAGTTAATTTTGATTTTTATAATACTGGCCTGTGAGGTGTAAACTTAAGTGTAAATATACATTATAATATAAAGATCAAACATTTTAAAAACTATCGAAAATATATTTTCATTGATAAATTTTAATAATGCAGATGATTTGTATTAGTAACATAAATCACATAAATAAATAAATTCCGATGCCCCAATTTTGTACTATCAGTGTGTATTTTTATTCAGAATCAAACTTCTATCGTTATATCCCAAATTAGATTTTCTGAATACTAAAGATATTCTTAACTGTGGAACGAAATGTAGAAGTTGGAAGGGAGTGGATCAGTGATGAAATAAAAAACATTATTTTATTGAGCTAACTTTTCGCCTAAGTTTTAGGCCTCGATTAAAGTTAACACGAGTAAAAATAAAATATGATTAAAACTAGTAAGGAGAATAGTACAAAAAAAAAAAAAAAGATAAGACAGTAATAAAAATATTAGAATACCAAATATATATCTGTAAATAATGAAATTTAAACATTAATTCATTAGCATTTTTCATTATCGACACATACGTATTTGGCTTATCATTAATAATTTCATTCTGTTTATTTATCATCTTATTTGTTGGTTAAACTGTTTTTCTTACTGGCTATTTTTTTTTATTTTAATTTTAATAGAACCGAAAAATGGGTCGAAACACAATAAAATAAGGTTTCTTATTTGTGTGAATTCATCTATGACCGTATCCTCTTTCCCTCTTCCCTACCAACTTCCATTCGTTTTCTGAACTTTTCAACATGTTTTCTGAAATCAGTTAACTATTTTCCTTAAATCGTTTTGGGACTGTAACAGTAGTAATAATCAATAGCCTTTATCTTAGACTCAAAGATGACAGGCATTTTGACAACAATCGAAGTTATTGTTCTATTCATTACAGGTTTAGAAATTTGCAGCTAAGTAGGACGATACCCATACGGCTACTTCCTCGACATCTATTTATTAAATAATATTTTAACTTCCATTCGCGAAATAGAAACCCGCTACCTTAAATATTACTGCTAATGTTTTTTATTTTATAAATTGAAAGAATACTTTGTCGTCAATATTCATATTTAAGGTTTTTATTGATATGTCTAGGGTCATCTGCACCTTCCTAATGCACCCAGTAATTGAGCTTTCTTAAAACATTAATGAATATGAATGAGTTTGATTATGTTTTAGTAGGTATGAAACATTTTTTTTTATTATTATTGAAATTTACAACTGTATTAAATGATAGATATAGCAAGTAAATATGAAACAAGTAACATGACATGTACAACATGAAGAGAAACTACACATTGGCAGCACTCCAATTATATTTTTATATTAGAAGGTCCCGAGGTCTCCATCTTCCATCATTCATCTCAGACGCCTCGGAGGTTATCAGGAATAGAAGAGGAAGCAAGGTTATAAACAAGAGTGTTCGGATGGTTCAGAAGTTTACTATGGAAGGATAGATAACTGGATTGAGCTAAATCGGAAACATATGGTACAATAAGGTCATAATGGATGATTTTATTTGTGAAAAAATAGGGAGCATTAAGGATTTTACGAAGGATTTTGGACTGTAGGGATTGGATACGAGAGAAATTTGATGGTTTAGTAGAGCCCCAAAGCTCGATCCCGTACGTCCAATTATAATAATATATATGAGTCTTTTGTAAATATTTGGAAGTTTAGAGCGTTTGTCTAGAAAGTGCTTCAGTAGTCGAAAACATCGGGCGGTTTCTAGTCGTTTCAGTTTGGAATGGGGGTTCCAAGTAAGTCGTTTGTCCAGGTGGAGTCCTAGGTATCGGATTTGTTCAACAGGGATAAGTGGGGTATTGTTAAAGGATACTGTAAGACAGGAAGCCATAGATTTACTACATGTTTGAAACCTAATTTAAATTTAGATAAAATGTTAGTCATACTAATTTATACTGATAAGAAAAAAATCAACAAATTGGAAATGAAAGTTTTTATTCTAGAGTTGCCTAAACAATATTTTATATATCTAATTGCTGTAGCAAAATGGTTTTATGTAATTTTATGATATATCCGGGAGCAACAAAAATAAAACCTTTATTAAGAATAGAATAAGTAAATAAAATAAACCTAAAAATCTTTGAACAATCAATATATATTTTAAATAACAATCAAAATAGAATATTATCTATAATTCAATTGTTTAAAATACAAGGCGATTACTGTTGCGAAAGAATATTATTTTACACAGGTTACCAGAATGCTTAACAAAAACCAGAATAATAATAATAATTGTTTGATGGAAGTATCTTATATTGAGAGACGTAACATCTCAAGTTAAGGCATCTCCAACTTCAATATCAGATTCTTATAAATCCCTTCACTAACATATAAAAACAAAATAATATATAAAGCGACGATTATTTGCAAACCAACATGTAAGCTTTGAACTAATAAGTATTCAAGCATATTCACATATTTTTGTTTCATTTTGTTTACATCAAATTGGATGGATATCAACTTCACCTACTAAAGATGAGAGGAAAATTAAGAAGACATAAGAAGTACATACGCAGTTACGTTTGTCAGAGGGAAAGTACAATCAAGTTGCGTAATTAGAGAATGTTGACTACGTAACGAAACTGGAAATTTCACATGAAACTTATATTTGTTTTCCTTCATCACTGAGGTTTTCTGTCCGGTGGACTAAAGATAATAAAAATACACAAACACAACAGTGTTATAAGTGTGACAAGAATACACAAACTAGCTAAAAATTGAAAAAAAAAAATTATTAAATTTGATAAAAAGCGGAACAGTAACGTGTAATGTGTTAATGATAGTTCCTCGAAGTTAATACAATAAGTTCATTCAATACTGTCCTCAATAGTCATTTTTTTGTGTTGTCTCTCTAATACAGGGAATCACCTTATGTCAGTATTCAATATATAGCCTCTTAGAACCATTAGAATCGCTGACTTTCGATTTTGATTGAGGAGGGCGATGCACAATAAAAAAAAAATAATAAAATGGCAGGAGTTCTCTCATGTGTAAAAATTCAACATAATTATTGTGAAACGAACAAATATATAATTGATTAGTTTATAATATATAAATATTAATCATTAATTACGATATAGAAATATTAGGTATTTTTACTATTAGGTACTACTGTCCTCAATAGTC